CCATGGTGGATACTCAGAAGAGAAATTCCAGTTTATGTGTATATGTGTGCATGAGTATGTGTGAGTGCATGCATGTGTATATGTTAGTGCCCGTGCGTGTGTGCCTGCATGAGTGTGCAGATGCATACATCCATATATGTATGTGAGTACATGCATCATATGTGAGTGCATGTGTGTGTGTGCATGTATGCTTGCGTTTGGGGGCACAGGCAAAAATAGATGGGGTTAAATATTTGGAATGGGTCTTTCAAACTGCTTTTTTTTTTTTTTTTTTTTTTTTTTGAGACAGGGTCTTGCTCTGTCATCCAGGCTGGAGTGCAGTGGCGATCATAGCTCACTGTAGCCTTAACCTCCTGGGCTCAGGTGATCCTCCCTTCCCAGCCTCCTGAGTAGCTAGAATTATAGGCACGCAGCACCATGTCTGGCTAATTTTTGTGGGTGTTTTTTGGTAGAGATGGGGTCACACAATGTTGCCTAGGCTGGTCTCAAACTCCTGGCTCTAGTGATCTTCTTGCCTAGGCGTCTCAAAGTTCTGGGATTACAGGAATGAGACACTGACTAGGCCTCAAACTGTTATAATAATGGTAGTGACCTTGGACATTTTCCTGAGGAGTCACTGTAAATTTTTAAGTGGAGTAGTGATTTCATCTGACTCATTTAACATCAGCATGGAGGATTGCATTAGAGTAGTATTTCCAAAATGCTGTCTGAAGATGCAAAAGTTTCTGAAGAAGTCTCCCCTGTGTAGTAAATTTAGTTAAAATAATATAGTAAAATTTAGTAAAAAAAAAAAAAAAAAAAAGGACAATATAGTAAATCCTTTAAATATCTAAATTTATTCAACTTGCCTGAATTCTCTGGTTATTCCTTCTTTGACTTTGGGGTTTCAAATCCTTTTTATTTAATAAGACACTGGTGTTAATAGATGGTAGTAATAGGTTTGTTTGTTTGTTAATGCTTGATAAAATAAAAAGTTGGCATCTTTTTTAAAAAGATATTCCAGATTTTTTTGAAAATAAATGGATCTTTGAAATCTCAAAGTCTGGGAGCCACTGGCAAGGTGGTATAAGCAGAAATATGCCTTTGTGTGTGTGTGTTTTTTCCATAGTACACATTCCCTGGCCCCTGAGGAAGAATTCAAGTGTAATGAAGTCAGTACAGGCATATGTATTTTGAAAAAGCTCCTAAATCCTTTAGAGATGCTTCTCTGGTTTACAATCCCTGGTTTGGAGGAGAGCTGGGAAAGGCCTGGTGTTCATCAATGAAGAAAACCTTGAAGAAACCAGGACATGAGAAGACAAGAAGGGTGAATGTGAACAACATTTTTCTTAGATGGAATGAATAGGACTCAAGGATGCGAAGATGGTCCTTGTGGATGATATAAGCAAAGCTGGGGTTCAGGAGGAGGCTCCAGATCGTCAGCAGGGAGAATGAGCCTGCTTTACTGTGCATGAAAGGGATTTCCTTCAACATGAGGTTCCCATCCTTCTATCTTGTTCCTAAGAATTAATTCTTCTTAAGAAGGCAACAGACAAAGAGAAGACTTTTGTGAAGAATGAGGTAAACATTCAGGATACAAAGTCTAATGTAGAATTCTAGAGTAGATGGTGCTTGGTTTCCATGGAGTATCTGCCACAAACTGAAGTATTAATATTTTCTGGTTTTAAGAATGCAAGTAAATAAAGAAAACAAGAGAGTGGGTGTGATACAGTTTCGCTCTGTGTCCCCACCTAAATCTCATGTTGAATTGTAATCTTCAGTGTTGGGGGAGGGACCTGGTGGGAGGTGATTGGATCATGGGGGAGGGATGTAGGGATTTCCCCTGTACTGTTCTTGTGAGAGTGAGTTCTCAAAAGATCTGGCTGTTTGAAAGTGCCCAGCACCCCTCTCCTTTGCTCTCTCTGTCCTGCCAGCCATGTGAAGAAGTGCTTGCTTCTCCTTGCCTTCAGCCATGATTGTAAGCTTCCTGAGGCCCTCCCAGAGGCAGAAGCCTATAAAGCCTTCTGAACCATAAGCTGATTAAACCACTTTTTAAAATAAATTACCCAGGCTTTATAGTAGTGTGAGAACACACTAATACAGGATGTCTGTGACTTAAGACTTCTGCTAAGTGGTTAGAGACTCTGACAACTCCAAATGGTCAAGTGACATATTGTTGAGTCCTCTGAGGGCAGGAGTCTATCTCCTCCTACTTTATCCTGGCTATGTTGCTAAAGCACCAAAAGGTAATTGGTACTTGTTGATTGAGGTTTTTGTTCTTTTACCGAACCAGTGAACCCTTTTGGAAATATAATTTTATATTTTAAAACTTTAGAACTATTCTGTATTCTTTAATCTCTCACGGTCTCTATTACTGTTCTCTGTAATAGAAATGATTTGGACTAGTTCTGAGTTGGCTGATTTAGAAGACAAGAAATAAGTGCTGATTCTTCATTCATTCAACTTATAAAATATTTTATTGACACCTATGATGAACCACTAATTGAATGTGGAATGTGAAGGAAAGGGAAGAATTCAGGCGGATACTAGCATCTTTCAGTTAAGCAACTGGACAGGATGAAAAGTTCTAATGATCTATTGTTGCCTAACAAACCATCTCAAAACTGAGTGGCTTAAAAGAACATCTTTTTGTTGTTGTTATTTCTCAGGATTATTTGAGTTGACTGAGCTAAGCTCTGCTGTTCTTGCTTGAGGCAAGACCAGAACTACAGAAAGGTGAGTGTAGTGTCTCAAGTACAAAATTTAAGGAGACACTCACTCTTGGAGTCTTTGGAGCCCAATTATGAAGGTCAATGCCTCCTTAAATTTTGCACCAAAATGCCTCACTTGCTTCACCCTGATCTTGATCCTGGCTTGGGGTCTCTCTCATGTGCCTTAAGTAGGATGGCAGCTAGAGCTGGAGCCATCTGAAGGTTCAATTGGGCCAGACATCCAAGATAGTGTCTCCACTCACAAGTCTGGTGCCTGCTTCACTCACATGGCTGAAATAGCAGGGAGCTGGTCAGGGATCTCCTTCCCTCTCCATGTATCCTCTACACATAGTAAGCATGGGCTTCCTCATAGCATGCCAGTCTGAAGGTGGTCCAGATGTCTTACATGGTGACTGGCTTCTCCAGAGCAAGCATTCCAAGAGGCCTGATAAGGTTTGGCTCTGTGTTCCCAGCCAAATCTCATCTTGTAGCTCCCATAATTCCCACATATTTGGGAGGGACCCCGTGGGAGATGGTTGAATCATGGGGGTGGGTCTTTTCCATGCTGTTTTCATGATAGTGAATGGGTCTCATGAGGTCTGATGGTTTTAAAAACAGGAGTTTCTCTGCTCAAGCCCTCTCATTCCCTGCTGCCATTCATGTAAGATGTGATTTGCTCCTCCTTGCCTTCCGTCATAATTGTGAGGCCTCCCCAGCCATGTGGAACTGTAAGTCTAATAAACCTGTTTCTTTTGTAAATTGCTCAGTTTGGGGTATGGTCTTTATCAGCAGTGTGAAAACGGACTAATAGAAGGCCTGAGTAGAAGCTGCAAGGCTTCTTGTGATCAAGCCTTGGAGGCCCCAGAATGTCAGTCACTTTCACTATGTCCCATTGATCAAAGTCAGTAAGGCCTACCCAAGACTCAGGGGGAAGGGGATTGGACTCTACCTTTTGGTCTGAGCAGTAAGGATTTAAAGGCAGGGGGAAAACTGATGGAGAACAATTTTGGAGGGTATCCACCACAGAAAGCCCAGTAAACAAAGAGGTTTTGGGGATGGAAAATTAGAAGTGCTCTTGGGGAAGCTTAAGTTGGAGATGTTCTTGGAACCAAGTGAATATATACATATGGAGATCAGAGAAAGACTGAAATTGAAAACATCAAATTAGGAGATGCAATTTAAAATCAAGGCAATAGATGTGGTTACCTAAGGAGTCAAGAGAGAGAAGGAGTCATCAGGCAGTAAAATGAGAGAACAGGGGAGTGTGGAGTTTCAGAAGCCAAAATTTTAAAAAGCGCTTTGAAAAGAAGGAGGTGATCAGTCATGGCCAATGCTGCTGAAACGTCAAATAAGCTGAGGACTGAGAAGTGACCATCGGGTAGAGCAAGATTTTGGTCACAAGTGACTCCACATAATCGAATGTAGCTCAATTATGTAGCATGAATCGAGGGGAGAACAGGAGAGTGAGGAAAATGAGTAAAAGCAAGGTTTTCAAGTTTTCATGAAAATGGGATAGCGACTGAGTGGGGAGGAGGAGTCTAGAAGATTTTACTATTTTTTTTTTAAGATAGGAGATAGTATAGCCTATTGTGGTGAATGGAAATGATACAACAAAAAAGTGGGCTGAGAACCCCTCAGGCTTGCAATGCTAATGCTATGTGACTGGGATACAGAGGTCCCCAAAGCATGCAGAGGTCTTGGGTCTCCCTTAAACCCCACTGAGAGCTGTATCAAGGCCAAGGTGGGGCAAGTTTTACCAAAAACACAACAACACAGAAAAAAAAAAAAAAACATGTTAACTTCGAGAGCAGTGGTTCTCAAAGTTTGAGCAGCATTCCCTGAGAACGTGTTAGAAATGCATATTCTTGGGACCCACCAGTCCAACTGAATCAGAAACTCCCAAAACTAGGGATCTGAGTTTTCTGATACGTGCTAAGGTTTGGGTCCCACTATTCTAAAGGAACTCAAGAACAATTCAAGCAAAGATGAAACTGAGTGCTGACTTTGTTCCTTATGGGCCTAAAATAACAAAGCTTTAAAGACAAGAGGGGCTTGTTCAATTGTCTAATTGGCTTCCAACCTTATCTATGAGGGATCCCAGACACACAGAAGGTGTCTGAGTTGTCCAAGTCCTCCAGGCAGGACTGAAAGGACAACTCCAAATAACAGAAAGAAAAAAAGAGAGAGAGAGAATCAGGGATATGGTTGTTTTGATGTGCTATGAAGTTGCAGGCTTTCTGTACTTTTTTAGTATCGATGTATATTATTTGTCTACTACGACTCAAGTGAGAGCAAGCCGGTCCGCCTTACCTCAGTCTGGCTCTTTTAAGGTTTGACTTTGGTACTGCAGAGGTGCAGCTTCCCACGGCAGACCCAGCGCCTCTAAGGACCGCAGCAGCCTCAGCAGGCACAGGAGGATGTCCCACAGCCGGAGGAATCTCCTAGTGCTGGGCCTGCGGCTGTGACTTTTGCTGTTTCAAATTCACTTGGCCTCTAGGGAGAGGCGGACAACCCGACGCTGAGCGCGTCGGAGCCCCGGCTCCCTCTGTTTCTGGAGAGGAGATTTAGCCTTAATTTTTGTGACAGATGGAGTTGATAGTCTCTCCACGGAAAGGGGAGGAAAAAAGCGCCAGTTTTTGACAGGCCGCAGACGCCCGCTGCCTCTGGTGGCCGAAGGCTGCGTTGCGCCCCAGTTAAGGTAGCTCGGTAACTCCCGCGCCGAGACAGCAGAAGTTTCCTCTGCGGGGCAGCCTCCCTTAAATGTAGTGAGGGGCTGAAACTTACACTTTAATACAAACCTTTGGTGTGTGCCCATTTATCTCCTTCTTCTGTCTTGTGACTGCGGCCAGGTGGCACTTGCTCAACATTCCGGAATATTTTTAATGCTATTTAAATTCTTTCATTACTGCACGTGTTGCAAGCTTATCTTCCTAAGAAATTACTTCGGTTGATTGGATTTCGGTCTTGCAATTTACGGCGGTACCTGCCAGATGGCCTAACTGGGACTCGGGGGCGGGGGGAGGGTTGTAAGCATCTCATCAACATCTCCCTAATAAAGTGTGTGCTTCTTTCTTGTATGCTTCTTTAAAAAAGTTTCAGTCTCACATTTTCTCTCTGCATTCTCGCCCTCCCCTCTGTGGTGATCGAGACCCAAAGACAGGGGGCCTGGAAGATAAACTGAGTTCTGAATCCAGTCGAAAGCACAGATGGGGACCAGCGAGAATTAATAAAACTATAAAAAAAAAAAAAAAGCAAGAAAAAGAAAAAAGAACCAAACAAAAAAGGCCCGTGCCTGAGCCGGATGCAAACAGCTGCCCTTAAGCCCTGCCCGCTGGTTCAGTACGCGAGCTAGGGCTGCATATCCGAGCTTCCTTAAGAGTAGGAGGAGCTCCCGGCCTCCGTCAAGCTCCTTAAGCCTTTCCTTTCAAGCCCTGAATGCCTGAATGTGAGCTGCCCACCACCCTCCCGCCCTCCCCCACTCCGCAACCCCACTCCAGCGGCTCGTAAAAAAAAAAAAAAAAAAACTTTCAACAACAACAGGCAGGACCAATAGCATCTCGAAAAGCCGGGAAAGGGGGCCGAGCAAAGGGCGAAAGAGAGTGGAGAAAGGAGAAAGCGGGCAGGCTCGGAGCGCGCGGGGCCGGGGCTCGGCGAGCCGGAGGAGCGTTGCTAATGTTTTTGTTTGTTTGCTTTTCCATGCATGCATAATGAGGGGGCACCGCGGCACCACGCGGGGGCTCCCGGCCCACTTTTGTATTTAAAGCCTCGCTGCTAACGAGTCTGCAGCCGGGCTCAGCGGATCCGCTCCCCGGGCTCCTGGTCACCCGAGAAGCCGCCGCCGAGTGAAGCCAGGGAGCCGCTCTCCGGCAGCGCCGACTTTCTTGTTCTCCCCGCGCCTCCCGGAAAGAGCTCCCCGGAGCTCGGCGGAGGCCGTGGTTGCCGCGGGCGGAGGGGGAGGGGACGCGGGGCGGCCGGGCCGCGGGAAGGCGGGCAGCGCGCGGACGCCGGGCCAGGAAGCGGCGCGATGCGAGAGACCGCGGCAGCAGTGGCGGCTGCGCGGCGCTGAGCCCGGGAGGAAGGAGCGCCGCGGCCACAGCGCGAGCAGCCGGCGCGGGGACAGCCGGCCGCACAACGGATCTGCAGGCGCGGAGCAAAATGCACCCGCCGCGCCGCGCGGTCCTGCAGCCCCGCCACGGCCCCGCGGCCCGCACCCCCCCGGGGCGACAGTGAGCCTCTCCCGCCACCACCGGGGGCCGAGCGGAGGGCTCTCGGGTGGGAGAGCGGGACCAGATCTCGGCAGCTGTTCATTTCCAGGAAGCCACCACAGCCGGAGCGAAAGGGGACCTTCTGCCACCAGCGGGGCATCAGCCAGCGGCGCGCATGGATTTATGAAGACACTCATGCAAGAAGTGGGCAGGACTTGGACAAACTTTTCCACCGGCTCCGCGTCCGCCGCTCCCCGCGCCTCGTCTCCTTTCCCCTCCTCTCCCGGCGGCCGCCGCTGCCCGCGATGGTGGCCGCGCTGCTGGGCGGCGGCGGCGAGGCCCGCGGGGGGACCGTGCCGGGCGCCTGGCTGTGCCTGATGGCGCTGCTGCAGCTGCTGGGCTCGGCGCCGCGGGGCTCGGGGCTGGCGCACGGCCGCCGCCTCATCTGCTGGCAGGCGCTGCTGCAGTGCCAGGGGGAGCCGGAGTGCAGCTACGCCTACAACCAGTACGCGGAGGCGTGCGCGCCTGTGCTGGCGCAGCACGGCGGGGGCGACGCGCCCGGGGCCGCTGCTGCCGCTGCAGCTTTCCCGGCTTCGGCAGCCTCCTTCTCGTCGCGCTGGCGCTGCCCGAGCCACTGCATCTCGGCCCTCATTCAGCTCAACCACACGCGCCGCGGGCCCGCCCTGGAGGACTGTGACTGCGCGCAGGACGAGAACTGCAAGTCCACCAAGCGCGCCATTGAGCCGTGCCTGCCCCGGACGAGCGGCGGCGGCGCTGGCGGCCCCGGCGCGGGCGGGGTCATGGGCTGCACCGAGGCCCGGCGGCGCTGCGACCGCGACAGCCGCTGCAACCTGGCGCTGAGCCGCTACCTGACCTACTGCGGCAAGGTCTTCAACGGGCTGCGCTGCACGGACGAATGCCGCACCGTCATTGAGGACATGCTGGCTATGCCCAAGGCGGCACTGCTCAACGACTGCGTGTGCGACGGCCTGGAGCGACCCATCTGCGAGTCGGTCAAGGAGAACATGGCCCGCTTGTGCTTCGGCTCCGAGCTGGGCAATGGCCCGGGCAGCAGCGGCTCGGACGGGGGCCTGGACGACTACTACGATGAGGACTACGATGACGAGCAGCGCCCCGGGGGCGCGGGTGGTGAGCAGCCGCTAGACGACGACGACGGCGTCCCGCACCCACCGCGCCCAGGCAGCGGCGCTGCTGCAGCGGGCGGCCGCGGGGACCTGCCCTATGGGCCCGGGCGCAGGAGCAGCGGCGGCGGCGGCCGCTCGGCGCCCCGGGGCGCCTGGACCCCCCTTGCCTCCATCTTGCTGCTGCTGCTCGGGCTGCTCTTTTAGGCCTCGCGCCCCCCGCCCTTGGCTGCGGGAGAGCCTGCGTCCCTCTCCAGTGCTCGCCTCGCCCCCGCGCCGGGGCACCTGTGGCTTGGGGACAGATAGAGGGGATGGTTGGGGATACTTCCCAAAACTTTTTCAAGGTAATTTGGTGGGGGCCCCCCCCCCCCCCCCCCCCCGCCACGACTCTGGACACTTCCCCTGAAGCTCCTCTCCGGAGCTTCACTTCTTGGACCTCTTCCCCCGCCCCAATTCCAAGCTGCAGAAACTCCCAACTTGTCTGCCATCCAGAAACCTAGCTGCAGTGTTCAGGACCTCCTGGAGGAAGCGGGCATGTAGGGGACATAACAGTAGTCCTGGACTCGAAAGGGAAGGTGCTGACCAGTGGGGCCTTAGCAATTCGAAGGGATGGGAAGGAGGAATTATATTTGCAAAGGGGCTGCCTATTAGCATATTTCCTTTGAGGGGGAAAAAAAGTACCAGTATCGACTTTAGTAGATTGTGGCCAGTGAGGACGTTAGAATCCTATGTAAACAGAAAAGTCCCACTTACCGATTCATTCTTTCACTGTTTGTATCAGCGCCCAGAATTCTCAGTGACGTGGGGGTGGGGGTGGGCGGCGATTGCCTTAGAGGGAACCCCTAAATTGGTTTTGGATAAGTTTGAGCCCTTGACCTTAATTTCATTGCTACTACTCTGATCTCTTAGCACATTTCTTAGGATTAAGGGTCAAAAAATGCTGATCTAAGGGGTTGCCATGGTGTTGAACAATACAACTTTTTATTTAAAAAAGCTCTGCACTGCCATCTATGAAAGCCTCTTTATGATGTTTGTTTTTTTGCCATTTTTGTTCTTTACATCAAGAAATTGTATGTTTAAATATGCGGAGAATGTATATTGCCTCTGCTCCTATCAGGGTTGCTAAACCCTGGTACATCGTATATAAAATGTATTAAAACTGGGGTTTGTTACCAGTTGCTGTACTTTGTATATAGAATTTTTATAAATTGTATGCTTCAGAAATAATTTATTTTTAAAAAGAAATTAAAAGTTTTAAACTCACATCTATATTACATCTTCCCCCCCGAAATGTATAGAATCCATTTGTCACCAGGAATCAAAACCCATGGTCCATTGTGAAGTGTGCTATATTTAGAACAGTCTTAAAATGTACAGTGTATTTTATAGAATTGAAGTTAACATTCTTATTTTCAAGAGAATTTATGGACGTTGTAGAAATGTACAAAAGCATTTCCAAACTGCCTTAAACGTTGTATTTTTATAGACATTGTTTTTTAAAAATCCTAAGTTTTTAAATAACTATGGATTTGTGTACTTTTTGGTTGTTTTATTAAAAGGTGTACATCAGTAAAGAGTTTTAAACAATGAATATGGTGTAGTTGCTTTCCAGAGTTACATTGTGGTTAACCCAATAATGGGTGAGGAGGGGGGCTGAGGGGGCACTGAGAATCTATCAACCATCAACTGAAATGCAAATACAGTACAAGACAAGAAATGCAGGGTATTATTTCTGCCTTTAATTTAATGAACAATTAGACATCTGTAAATGAGGCAGCCAAAAATATCTAATTGACTGGCCTCTCTATTGGTGTTTGCGTTTGTGGAGAGAATTCACAAAATAGTGTCTCTTGTACATAATTTGAGGATAACTCAGACATCATGTTGCCCCGCCTCCCCCTTTTTCCCTGAGACCTCCCCTCTCTGTATCCCCCTTCCCATCACCCCTTACCCCCAAGAGTATCCTCTCTGGCTACTAGCCATCCTCAATCAAACATGCCAATAACATCTGTTACCAATAGGTTTTAGGAAGCTTGCAAGACCCAATACTTCAAAGTCATTTTCACACTTTTGGTGAAAAAGTACAAAATTTTGTTGCAAAACATTCAGACCAGCAAAAGTAAACACACAGGGGAAAGGAACAATCACCAGAACTTGTAATATTGTTGTGAGGAGTTGTTTAGCAGTGGCTGAAGGCTGGGTTCCTGCCAGAGCTACTGATCTACACTCAAACGCCCTTAGATAAATAATTACACTCTTAAGCTGTGTCGAGTGCTGATACACTTGACCTTGTAAATAGAAATGTTTGCAGTAGGAATAAACTCCGGCATTGGAAAATCTTTTAAACATTAACACAAAAGAGAGCGCTCTGTCCTCTGGGGATTTGAGCCTGAACCTCGCCAAGCTAGGCACTTGCAAGGGGGAAAAAAAGTTTATTTATCTTCTATTCCTGGTGTTTATTTAAAGCTTTTCATTTTAAACGCGGTGATTGGAAGGCAAGTCAGGAGTTTAAAAGTCACCACAAATAAACTTTGTCTGAGGGGTCGACAGATTAGCAAGATCTGGTGTCTCTTTATTTGATATTAACATGTGCTGAAAAAACATAACCAGATTTCTCTGCTGCCTAAAGTAATTAACAAAGCTATGCCCCCATTCTGACTTCCTCCTACCCACTCCCACCCCCCTACTTTCAAGGTTTCTTGTGCCTCTCACTCGCTCTTTTCCCAGCTTTTATGGAGGTTTTCAAGACACTTCTTGGTGCACCTAAAACCACAATTTCTATATGTATAGTATTAGAAAGTCTAAGATAGCTGTAGTGTCAGACGTAAGCCCAGGAGAGTGGTGTGTGGTTGGAATCTCCAGTCACCTGAATGGTTGAGTAAACATATTGTTAAAACAAAGCTGAGAGCGTTGTTTCTTTGGGAAGTGAACAAAGAGTATTCCCAGAGACTTGTAAATGAAATCAGCTTTCTTTACAAAACGACAAGCTAGCAGTGCTCCCGCGTTTGTCCTTAAATATATTTAAATCATCTCCATCTCATGTTATTTTAACACATTCTTGACTAAAAGTTAAGTCTTTGTCCCAGTAAAAGGCCCAGTTTTCCCC